TTTKKWWTTRAWWACTGTACAAAGATTGAGAATTGAGATCCTCTYTTTGTTGTCTYCTTTTAAGGACTGAAAACAGATGTAGAAGCGCAGGAAATAGGAATGAGTAAGTTGACTTAATGTGCTTAAATTTGATTCTTTTATTGCTAAAAAATGAAGAAGATAAAATGTATTATTTTCGCCTTATTGGTTTAATTTTGAGATAATTTRTGACTCTTAAAACTCTAACACTTCATTGCTAGTTTTAGTTTATGGAAAAGAAAGTAACTTATTTTAAACGTAATATGTTTTTTTTTCTTTACAGAGCGCGTGGGTACGTGTGGCACCGAGGAGGAAGGCAAGACGTTGATTCCGAGGAGGGCTGATAATGGCTGCGGACGATGTCTCTGTCAGGGGGGTCTGGTCTACTGTAAAACCTGCTAAAAACTTTTAAAAATTAAAGTTAGAACTTTGGTGTGAAAATTACTAGTGATAGTAATTATTTTTACAATTTTCTAATTTCTAATCGTTTCCAAGTAAAAATGCATTTTGTCTCTATGGTGTTGGTTTCACTTCATAAAAAGATTAAACCGTTTCCAATAATCTTAAAACAAACATAGCATATTTATTATTTAATTTGTGTTGATTATTTTACTGGTTTGTTGGTATTGCTACTCAAATAGTAATTATRATAATGTAAACTTGTTAACAAATGAAAATTAAATGAAGATTTGGAATAAATAACCAAGGGTAATTTGCTATGTTAAAAACCAGTTTTCTCAAAACTTGTTGTATGCTCATTTTAATCCTCGGGAAGTAATTAATGTTTAAAAGACACTTTGTTATTTGATGTGTAGTTATATAGAACCATGGAACATGCTTATTGCATTTTTACTTCGACGATTGATAGCATACGTAGAGACCATATGGGGATTGGGTCGAGCGTTCTCGTTCTCGTTCCTTCCCAATCCACCAACGGCCGTTACGAAGACAACAGAGGACTTCGTCAAAAAAGTCAGTCTGAAGTGTTCTTGTTCCTGTATTGAATAATTATCTTGAATCGGTTGGTTTTACCATGTTCGACAGTTTAAGTAGTACATAAAAGTGMTTTTGTTTATGCTACAAACCAGAGGCTTGCGCTTAGAAAACAAATAAACGAAGAAAAATAAGGCAAGGCACTGGATTCAAGGTCAACTGTCACAACCTGATGGAGAGARGGCGGACTATAAATATAGTGACAGATATCATAAGAGTTTCTGTCGTTATGGTACAAAAAAAACATCTCGCATTCAAGATGGCGGCCGAGTGTTTCGGASTGAATATGAATTACAAACCGTTTTTTAATTGTTATTTAAGTCAATTCAGTGAAAAAGACTCCAATCAACTCAAACGAAAGATGCTACAATAGGTGCCTGGAAGCATAGCCTTCGTTTGACAGTTGTCGGCTTTTAAGTTTCGTAACGTGACTCAAAAGAACAAAGATTTCACAAGACAAAKATTTCAGAGTACATAAGTTAATAATAAATGCACTTTGTACTATAAGGAGTCTAATACCGAAAACAGAGCYGTCCGAATAGATCCCGTCACGAATAAATACAAAGTAAAAMAAGATTATGATACAGAGATCGCCGTCATTGATGATATTTAAGGGATTAAGTAAAAACGCGCGAGCGCTTTTCAAGTGCGTGACAAGTAGTTTCGAAAGTTTGTTTTCATATTAGTTTGACGTTGGGATGACGTTCAACTTGAGTTCTTTGACAAACCTTTGTTAAACACGATTACAGTAGCTACACACTTAAAACATCGCTTATCCAACGTTCAAACTCCATTTTCCTTCCTACCTTTTAAAAAGAGAAAATATATMCCTGGAAAGGTAAGTCTGATATATAACTTTTAAGTGCTGTTGATTTGCAATGCACGAGATGCAGGAGTTTTGGCTGAAAACTGTCCGGCATGTGTGCAAATGAAATCCTGAATAGCGTCATAAGTGATTCAAGCCAAAGCCACTACAACTAAACTTGTGAATCGCGTGTATTTGGCACAAGAGCTGTACGCCTTTTATAAGTTGTTTTCAAAGTTTAKGAACCTTCACACGCCGATAAACAAACCAAAAAACGATAGATCTAAAAGCATGCAGTTTTAACTTCGACAAATTTTGTTGACCTCCGTAGCTGCAATGAAATTTCTTTTGTATCACAATCAATTTGTATTTTCAACACAATCACAAGAAAAGTTTATCCTTAATGCTTTAAAGTATGCAAATTGTAATTTGATTGAAAGCACAGCCACCCAAAAAGGCGTACATCTTTATGCGACATGTAAAATACAATGTCAAGTCTATTTACCATTTGATCAAATGGTAAGCAAAGCTGACAACTTATTTTAATGAAGGTATTRGATTTGCATGATTTAAATCTGTTAGTTTTTGCCCCAAGCTACAACATTCCATAAAAATCACGAGAAAAGAGCTAAAAGGCAGTGCAAAACAGAAGTATTAGCAAAACCTGACCGSGTTCCGTGGTCGTAATCCCAACAGTAAAGTTGACAATGGATACTCAAGAATGATTGTTCGATAAATGTTTAGTTGGGACTTGTTGTTCTTGGGATTTGGTCGCAGCCTGACGCTTCATTCGTAGTCAAAGGGTCACAGACATTCGGTTTGAAATTAAAAAAAACAACAATATGAGCTCTTCATTCTAATGATTATTTTAAATTTGTGGCATTTATAGTAATTTATCTCAATTTTTTTGTTACTGTTGTCTTTCAAAGTTATCGGCGCCATCTTGAAAAGTAACYGCGCCTCTGAAACAAAGGAAGAGGACAGGTAAATTAACAATGAGTCAAATGTGCAGCGACGCCATTTTGTGCAGTAAAGCATTATGGTAGTTGTAGTCCTCGCACATTTTAGCACCTAAAATATCTCCTTAAAAGTCGTTTTTACATTTTCTTTTTTTAGAAACGACATAAATACTCTATTTTCGCTTTGAAAAAGCAAGAACTGCTAACTAAGGAGGACTGTTTTAGCGAACATAAGTACGAGGATTACAACTACCATCATCCTTTGCAGCACAATGCTTATTGGTATCTTTTTCATATCAACTACGGCAAATAGGGTGATTGTTGTACTGAACCGTACTGTTGTATCCAACAGACAGCTATGTAATGGATGRTGCTGCAGCTACTCCCGACAAACCCGCCGTCAGTCTTTTTTGTCCGTCGTGCAGCCAAGTAATCCAACAACCTCGCATCCTACCGTGCCTGCATACCCTCTGTACAGCGTGCATCTACAAACATCTCAATGGCCACTACAAATGTCCGGTATGTAACGAATCGACCAATGGGATTTTCTCTCCACGAGACATTGATCGACTTCCTGTTGATAGCCTTCTTGAGAGTGTTCTAGATATGGTTGCATTGCATGGYGGGAAAGATATCCAATGCGACATCTGCGATGAGAGYGAAAGCTCGTCAGCGGTTTCTCGTTGCATGACATGTGCATTGTATCTATGCTCGATTCATTGCGACGCGCATAAAACTGCAAAACACTCCAAGGGGCATGAAGTAATTGAAATATCTCAATTGCGGAAGTACCCTCTTAAGAATTTAAGACGCCCCTTGTATTGTGTGGACCATGGTGAAGAGTTCTTGAGTTCATATTGCGAAACGTGTGACAAACCAGTTTGTAAACACTGCTGCTCGCAAAATAAARWSMASCACCAGCACATTACTTTAGACCAGGCTATTYACAAATACAATTCTGAGGTGAAAAGTCTGCTTCAAAACGCTCAAAGAATGTCAAAATCGATTGAGCAAACGTTGTCAGACATTGAMTTAGTTGTTRGTAACGTCCACAGTAAAGCGAAAARCATCATGGGAGAGATTGACGTCATATTTGATTACCAAATCAATTCTTTGCTTAAACGTAAAAAAGATCTTCGTAACCAGTTACAAGATATACGTAAGACGAAAACGCAAGCTCTTCGTGAGCAACAAGAAAGGTTGAAATCTTCACTTGTTAAACTAAGACACGCGTGTAAATTCACGGACATTTTATTAACGACAAGCMTCAGCCACCAAAATGCTTCCAGCCTTGTCCTAAAGAGTTTGCTTTCATCACGGCTTTTGTCTTTCCTCAATAACGAATCCTTTCTCCTGCAACCCRCCGAAGACAGTTTCTTAGAAATCCTTTTTGACGACTCGCTACTTCATCACGCGATTGAAACATTYGGGAGACTGGGAACTAGGCATGTCAGCCCTCCACAATGCATTGCGCGAGGTGCTGGAATACAATWTGCTTTTGTTGGAGAGAYGACAACATTTGTACTTTTCTTGGTSGACCAAAATGGAAATAACCTCTCGACATCAAGGGATGAGCTGACGATAGATATTTCAACCTATGACGGTAAGAAGGTTGATGTTGACATGACCGAAAAGACTGATGGGACATATGAGGTGTCATACAGACCGTTGTGTCCTGGGACATTAACTAYTGCAATCAGGGTGCTAGGCGAAGAAATCAAAGGCAGTCCGTTTCATGTKAAAGTCAGTAACGAAATGAAAAAGTCCTGGATCTAGCTAACGATAGAAATAGTTTCTTAAGTTCCCTGCGGCAWCTTGAAAAATAGCGARATGAGRTACGAGGTGAGCTTGAAATGATTCATACCAGTGAATAAGTGTCTGTTAGGTGTGAATAAAAAAATTTGTAATCATTGCACGCTCAACGTTCGTTTCGCTTGATGCAAATGTAAAGGCACGGTTACTTTCAAGATGGCGAAGGGAATGTTTGGAACATTTTAATGTTAAGTCACATTTAAAAATCCAAAAGACACAACTGAGAGGCTTTTTCAATAGGAGCCGACGGGCTCCTGGGAGAAATATATCTGTTCTTATGTCCCAGCCAGCTGTAAGTCACAACAGCTGGTTGTCAGGAAGGAAAATCGCGAATACCCTTTTTTATTAAAAAATACTCAAGTACTTAAACGGCCGTAAGAGAGAGTTTTTTCCCAATTAAAAATTCTAGTTCTAAATCACTTTCCCAGGAGAAAAATCGTATAAGAACAGTTATTTAGAGGAAAAGACCTGGTCGGCTTCTCCTGACTTTTTATTACACTCTTGCGAGATATTTGACTTCCTGCTAACCCGAGAACACTTTGTAATAAATGTTACAAACAAAGATGTAAGCAATATCACTTTTATTAGACATAACATTGCACATTTGATCGTGAAAAGATCTAATTATTCTTTCAACACTAATGCTTCAAGTTGCCCTGCAGACAACTTTTCAGTCAAGCACTAATTAAAATCATCGCAGTTTCTGACATTCTTAGTGCAATGGTAACTGAGCAACAAGGATTTTGGTGGCCAAATACTTGAAGCCTTTCTCAGTCGCACTTTCGTGATTATACAGCCATCCAATCAGAATCAAGGGGGTAATATATTAATATCAGTCATAATTGAAACAGCTATTTCTCCTTTTGCTGCACTTTCAGAACATTCKGCTTGCAATTAGTACATGTATATGGGATCATTGTGGACACTAAGAATACTTTTAATCCATTTAGCTAGAGTTATAACCTGCGAGAAGTTAAGACAGCTTATTGTGGAAAGCTTTCAATAATATTCCATTTGATTAACGGATACTGTTAAAAAATTATTCGGCTGAACTAGACAGGTCTGATAATAGAATTCTCTTTGAGGTTGCCCCGTTAATTCTGGCTTTAATTAGAAAGCGGAATAAGCGTCGACTGCCTGGCGGTAGAAACGAAAAGAGTACTGCTGGGAACAAAAGCGAAAGACTAGTACTGCTGGGAATAACTATTTTGATGGTATATATGGCAACATTTGAGCCGTTAAATTATAGATTTTACTGCTGAAAACGACCGGCAAAATACCGATAAATTTTCAATGATAATTTGTCATAGAAGACTGACATTGAAATTACCCAAAATGCACATCGATAATGGCATGCGCAGTAGCGGATGATTAGGTTTCAAATTACTATATAAACAGTTACGAAAATTACCTTATCAATATTCATTGATGGATAATTTCGATTTGAGATAACTACTTTCTGTGCCACCAACGCAACACTTAAAATTAGATTATATATTGTTTTAGCGATCTTATCAGACATATTATCACTCTCAAACAAGCTGTTTACACGTATACCCACACCGAAGTTAAAGGAAATGATTCTGCTGGTCCAACTTATATAAATCACTGCTGTTCCCTATTATTTGGTTGTCAGTGTTCCTTCCGCACAAAAGCCTACGGGATCAACAATAACCAAACAGAAGCCGAATTTCAGTTGATCAATTAATGTGGAGAAGCACTGGAAAAGACTTTTCACTCTATCCTTTCATCAAGAGGTAACTTATATTATTCAAACAATTCTGMATTGTCCAGTCGGGTYTCTCCTTTCCAATGGCTTGCGGAATCGCGGGGAATTTCGCTAGCAGTGCAGGAATAAAAAAAGAGGCTAGGACTCTCTAAACCGCAGCGCTGAAATCAAAATAGTATGGCAACGAAAATATCTATGTTAAAGCTTTTTACAAGATCCTAAATACTGAAARTCGATGAAAGAAATGGGAATGGGAGAAAGCGGAAGTTTATTTCTAAAAAAAGGAAGACTTTTGTTCGATAGACACTGTCGACGATTGCCAGTGTCTGGCGCATATTGAGTTTCAATTTCATCCTAAGAACTAATAATATTAATGTTTACTGTAGCCTAGTACAGTAAACATTTTAGGG